TCTATGGATGAAGTGCATTATAGACAGATAGGAGCAGCCTCGCGCTCACAGGCCCTTGTCCTCACAGGGGACTTCAGCCATCCTGATACATGTTGGAGGGACGGTACAGCCTGGCACAAGCAATGGAAGGACATGGAGCTATTAGAGAAAGTCCAAAGGAGGCCACGAGGATGATCAGGGGGCTGGAGCACCTCCTGTATGAAGACAGGCTGAGAAAGTTGGGGCTGTTCAGCCTGGAGAAGAGAAGGCTGCATGGAGACCTCATAGCAGCCTTCCAGTATCTGAAGGATGCTGGGAAGGGAATCTTCATTAGGGATTGTAGTGATAGGACAAGAGGTAACAGGTTCAAACTTAAACAGGGGAAGTTCAGGTTGGATATAAGGAGGAAGTTCCTTACTGTGAGGGTGGTGAGGCACTGGAATGGGTTGCCCAGGGAAGCTGTGAATGCTCCATCCCTGGTGGCGTTCAAGGCCAGGTTGGACAGAGCCTTGGGTGACATGGTTTAGTGTGAGGTGTCCCTCCCATAGCAGGGGGGTTGGAACTTGATGATCTTAAGGTCCTTTCCAACCCTAACTATTCTATGATTCTATGATTCTATGTTTCTGCAGCTGGCAGAAGTCAAGCACAGCTCTGTATTAGCAAAGAAAAAAAAGAGATTTCACAGCTTTGGGCTAGTTTTCCCTCAGGGAGTGAAAATAAGCCAGTCTCACCACCTCCTGCCAGTGTCCCGGGTCTTGTCTGTCCCAGTTATTCGTCAAATACAGCACAGCTCCAGGATGTGGAACACAGCAGGGTCAGCACTTGGGTCCTTTTGCTCCTTGAAAAGGGATTAAGACAACATTAGAACAATTAAAATGTCCCTTTTTTTTTTGATGCAAATCTGATTTAAGAGCTTAAAATGGCATTTTTTTCTTCTCCAACCAAATTGTTTAAATCTCAGACATAAATTGCAGCATCATAAAACCTTGATGAGGACAAAACCAGTGTGATTCACAAAACCTAAGAGCTTCTCACTGGTTTCTGGCTCTGACACCTGTGAGACTGGCAGCAGGGTCCAGCTGTGCAGCAAAGGGCCTTTTGTCAGCAAATCATTGCTGTAGCTGTGTGTTGTTTTAATCAACAGGCAACCATGGTGCAACCCAGACCAGCGTCATGCCAACCTCGAGAAAAAGAAGAAATGTCCAATCATCTCTATTTCCTGAGATCAGGAGGGCAAAAAACCTGGGCTCTGTGTCCCCATCATGCACATGGTCATGCGTTCTTGGCTACACAGAGGGCACACAGCCCAATGCAGACAGCCCAACACTAACACACACAGCTCAGTGCAGACAGCACAAGCCCTTGTCAGGCAAATGGCGGCCTCGGGCAGACCAAGGGTAAAAACCAAGTCCCAGACATGCCACGTAACGGGAAATGGATCCAGATGTGTATAAACCAGCATATTTGTTCTGTAAAGTGCTACAAACCCATTGAGTGAGCAAAGAAAATGGCTGCAGCTAACTGCAGCTCTACTGTTTTCAGCCTGGCTGCTTTAATAAGGTGCCTTTCCCTGGCTTTATGCAGGATTGTACACAGGAGGCCTCTTGACCAGCCAGTCTTAAGTTCTCAGTAACTCTTGCAGCTGCCAACCAGTACTTGTGTTTTAGCTTACCCAGGAGAGACCCTTATTGGTTTTAAAGCACCTCACTCTCTTCCAGACCTTAAAAAAAAATAAATACAATAAATAAATCTGCTATGTATACAGCAGGGAATAGTGAGTGAAACAGGCATTAATTTGGCATTAAGCACCAAACCCGGAGCTCAGCCTGAATAGATGGCAGGGCAGATGTGCCAGGGCCATGTGTCCCCCCTGGAGCATGTGCCACCTGCCCTGAGCGCAGCAGCAGAGGAGGCAGAGACCCTCGTCCTTGCCAGCCCTGCAACCAGATGCCAGTGCAGAGCGGGTGCTCTCCTGGGGCCACCCTGCACAGCTGTGGCCCCTCTCCCACAGCACGGGGCCACCAGGACAAGACCACATGGCTGGTGCCAGCCTCTGGCTCCTGCTCCTAGGCTGATGTAAATCAGGGGTTACCCTGATGCAGGCAGTGGCACAGCTCCTGATTTACAACACCCTATGCAAGAGGACAACTTGACCTTATGGTTCAACATCAGTGCCATTGAAAGCTTCTTAAGACAGACATGTAATCAATCCTGGAGGGACACTGAGCAGCAGAGCTTAGGTTCTGCATAAGTCAGGGCTGGGCTTCCTAGGGAAATTGCCTGATCCAGGCTCCCATGACATCTATTCTTAGGTGCTCCCTCCATGCTCGCTGATAGGAGTTTGTTTTTCCATTTTACTTTGGTCAAAAATGGGCTGCTTCAGATTAATAAAATCCACAAAGATAATTTTTCCATAGCAAGTCCGACTTACCTATGTGACCTTTCAGACAGACAGGCTTTTAGCGATATCAGCTCTTCAGAAATTCTAGCCTTTATGGGCATCTGATGTTATTTTAGAATCCAAGAGGAAAAAGTTTACTGCCTTGCCTCTGTTTTCACAGCCATAATTATGAGGGTAGTTTGGTGACGTAACCTGTTTGGTAAATAAATGATAGCTTTCAACAGCAAGTGCTGTCGGACACTTCATTCCTTGTAACCATTTTAGAAATCCTAATCCATTTTGCATTTCCACAGCACCAGATACTGCTTGTATTTATGCTTGTGTAAATCCTGTGCTACACCACTGCCTTCAGGAGACCTATTCTGCTTTTACACTGTGTGCAAGGCAACAGAATATGGCTTGTGGCATAAGTCTACATACGTCTTGTGGTATGATCTGCTAGTCCAGTAAGTACAATGGGAGAACCGTGCAGATGTAGTCTTACTCCCTCACTAGCTGCAACTATTTGCCTTGGTGATACGGACCATGAAAGTAAAGGCAGGATCACACTTCAGGCATTTTCACACTTTAAACAGAGAGAAGAAAGGGGCAAGGCAAAGTACATACAAAGATATTTTTTTGCAGAACAAAACAGACAATTTATCATGATAGAGGCACTACCAGTTACAGGCTGACAGCAACAAGAACCACAGTGTTCCATAGGGCTCCAGTGATTGATACGTTACCCCATGGTCTCCATGCCTTCACCCTGTACATCCCTGCACTCCGTGCCCCAGCCAAGCTCCCTGCTGACCTGAGGTAGAGGCAGCAGCCCAGCTCTCAGGCTGCAACCCAAGCAGAGCATACTGGTTATGTGCCACCTCCCCAAAACACATGTTCAAGAATCAGCAGTTACAAGTAAGACCAGAGGCAGCAAAGTAATAATAACACTTAGTCCATTCTTCTTTCAAACTCGATACAGTCCTGATTCCTTACACCACCTCTCTGGAAAGGAAGGATCATAATTCCCTCTTGAGACATTAGGAACTGGGGTATGGAGGGCTGAAAAGCTCTACCAGCAGAAAAGCTCGACAAAAGAAACCAGAGTGAAAACAAGTGGGTAACACAATGCAGGTACAAGATAAACTCTTCCATAAATTCTGTAGGAAACTGTTGGCTTTTGAAGACATCCCTCCACAGTGTTTGTTACCCAAATCCCGTGGAACTGAAAAGCTGAAAGATGCATTGACACAAAACAAAGTACAAGAAGAGGGCATTTTTGTTGTTTTTATTAACACCCTAGAGAAGAGCTCGTGGGCAGCAGCCTTGTCTGCCACCACAAGTGCTGTGCTGCTGATGCAGAGTGGGCGCTGCTGGCTCCCAGAGCTGCAGTCAGACCCACGGTTCCACAAACCAGCCAGTGCTGCTCCCTGGAAGGACACAGCTCACGACAAAAGCTGCTGAAGCGGTGCCAGTTTTCACAGCCAAACAAACTCACCTTTGTCCTCGCCACAGATGGACTCACAGGCATTTCTCCCCTTTCTGGAGGTGAGCTGGCTTTTCTGTCTCATTCAGACGCTTGCTGAGTTCTGCAGCCTGTTTTGGGCAATTGTTTGGTGGGGTTGATTTCCTTTGCTGGAAAAACTGGCTCCTGTCCTGCTGGCCCTGGTTTCACACAAATATGTGCCATTCTTGAGATGAAGCCAGTTAGGATTCATTGTCCCCAGAGCCTCTTGCACTGTGAGGACCTGCTTTTGCCATCATGAAGCCACACAGGTTGCTGACAAGGCCTGGGCTGGTTGTGCTTGGGAAAGGTCTCCTGCCCACCTGAGCACCAGAAGCAGAGCTTTTATCCGAGTGCTCTCAACCTCAACTGCCTCCTCTCATTTTTGACTTCAGGAGCTGTTTTCTGCCATCCAGCTCTGGAGCACAGGCTTCTGGAAGGGCCCTCCCTAGCCTGAGGAGGACCTTGTCAAACCCCTTCTCCCAGCATGGAGCATGTTGAGGACCATTCCTCAGGTTTGCCTTGCCCACAGTGTGCCTAGGACAAAGGGCAACACTGACGGGTCTTCATCAGCCCTAAGAAGCTGGCATTTGGCTCTGTTTAAACAGGTGATTTGAGCTACAGATTCTGTTTGTGCATTTAAGTTTGCTAACATTTTCCTGTTCCTTCCTACCCATCTTCCCAGCCTTGCCTGCCCCAGGGCAGGGACCAGCTCTCCCATCAGACCATCTCTGTGTCAAAGGAGTGACACTGCCCTCGTAGGCATCACTGAATGAGCAAGGTGGGACTGCACCTCACGCTGGGCATGGCTTGATTTTCTGATGGGCCAACTGAAATGGGCATTTAGAAACAAGAACTGTCGCTTAAATAAACATGGTGCTATGCAAAAATAAACCCCAAGAGAGATTAATTTCACATTCACCTATAATTACACTGAAAAATGAGAGTGTGGCTAAGAAATCCTGTCTTAAAATAAAATTAAAGCCTGCTTCAATCCTTCGCCTAGCCCATTTCTACCAACAGCACACATGCATTTGTACATGTTATTAGATTGACATTGTAGCATCCTGGACAAATCAAATTAATCCAAATATCTGCAGGTATGAAATGTTATAGATGAGAAATGAACACATAAAGTATATGCAATTTTCCCCTGGCAGTTTATTATGGTATGAAGAAAAAAAAACATTCTGTGCTTGAAGCTGACGTAATATTACAAATGTATTGCGAAGTATGATGTGACTATTAAAATATGATTACACAAAGTCATTTTAAGAAGTTTACAGTACAGTGAATCTTTTATAAACGGACTCTTAAATATACATAGGACAATAGTAGCTGACTGAAAAAACATCAAAAATTAACTATTAATGTTTATAGACTTTTCCTCTGAAAAAAAAAAAAAGAGAAGTCTCACATTAAAACAGAAATTATGAAAAGCCTTAAAACCAGGAACAAATCACCTGTACACTACAAATATACATGGCAGAGGTGTGCAAACCAGAGCTACCTTTCCACCAGGGAGGGCAGACAGTGCCTGCCCTGTGCCTCCTCTCCGGTATAGCCCACCTTGGAGCACAGTACCTCCTCGCCATGCGTGCACACACCTTTCAGCAGCGGGAACATCACAAGCACACACTCACTGCAGGACAATGACAGCACGTTGTCAGCGTCAGATTGACCTACTGGAGTGTATTGAGCTGATAACGTGTCCAGGATCTCTGCAGGCAATGCACTGGGAGCCCAGATAGGACCTACATACCAGGACTGGGCTGCAAGCCTGAGCTATGAGTCTCTTCTTATGGATTTTATGTGTTCTTTAATGCAACTTTTCAATCTTTCCTCGTGATATGGGAGAACAGATGCCACGTTTGATTTCTGCTTAGTCTGGCTGCAATGACACCCCTAGTTCATGTGTTAAGTTATGTCAAAAACATAAGTTTATGCTGTAATACACAGTATTACTGAAACTAACAATATTATTTGCATATTTATAACAAGGTATAATGAAATCCCTATAATAAAATCAAAAGTTACGCTATAGATTTATTTACAAAGAGTCCAGCAAAGAAGTATAAATACTTCTACATTTAAGGTTTAGGAAAACATAATTTACAAAATATTCAAATATATACAGTCATCTGAAAAACTGCCAACATTAAACTTTGATGCAGGCAAAGAATTGGCTGAGTCTATTCATTTTGTATTGAAAGAGGCGCTGGCTTTCCCAGGCTGTCTATTCTGTTCAAAAGCCATACGTATGTTATTTACAAAGAGACTGCTCTTCTCCGAGCTAAACATGTCCAGAGCTTTGAGAGTGCTGTCCCAAAATGTCATCTATCATTGTCAGATTGTTCAACCACTCTTCATCATTGCTGCTGCTGCTGTTCTTCATGAGAGAGTCAAGGAAGTCAGTGTCACTGCAGTTGGTGGGCATGATGGAGTTGCTGTGCTGAGACACAAAGTCGTACTGTGGCAGCTCGGCGGTAGCACTCAGCCTGTTGAAGGCATCGGGTGGCTGGCCTGAGGAAGAGTAGCTTGCTGGGCCAAGGCCCGGGGCAGGATTGAGCTGGTTAAAACTAGACACTCCTTGTGGCATTGATTTCATAACATTCATAGCTGGCAGCGGTCCTCTGGTTAAATTGTGTCTCAAGGTCTGATTACTCATTGAGCTCAAGCCCTGGCCAGGCTGGCCCATGCTCAGTTTTTGCATGTGTCTGACCTGGACGCTGGGAGCGATCTGATTAGGTGGCACTACAGCCTGCTGGGAGAACTGCTGACCCGCTGCGCTTGGCCTCACGTTCTGTTTGGAAAAGAGAGTGTTACTGGAGAACTGCTGCATGCTGGTATCCATTTGGCTTTGATTTGGCATTCTTGGCACAGTGGTCGGTGTCCACATCTGGGCAGATGAGTTGGGGTAGACGTTAGGGACCCTTGGCATACCCGGCTGCCTCAAGTGTTGCTGAGTTGCAGAGTGATTTGCTAAGGAACCAGAACTGAAACCTGCCATCGGCATTCCTGGCCGCACAGCAGAGTGGTTGTGTACTGTTTGACAACCCGAGTTCATGCCCAGTGAGTTCTGGCTCGGCCGCAGTGGGATGTTAAAGTCAGAATTAGGTGGAAAAATCCCCTGCTGCTTGCCAGGGTTGTGTGGAATCATCACCATTGTCCCGCTGCTCTGGCTGGCGGTGGCTGGGGCCATGCCAGAGCCCAAGGTGCTCTGGAGCATGGCTGGGTTAGATGGCAGCATGCGGTGGTTGGGCGGAGGAGCTGGCATCACCTGGCTGCAGTCAGTGGGAATGGGCTGCTGCACAGCTGTGGACAAAGAGACGTGTTAGCTGGTGAGCACACGTTCACCCTGGAAACATGGCAGAGCCTTAAAAAGCTGCTGCTCTGTCCTCTTTCATTACATGGGCCTCTCTGTATTCTTTGTAACAGCTACTACTGGAGCAACAAGGAAATGGGTGAATCTCATGATATGTGATAAAACGTGAAATGCTTTATTCTGGGACAGAGGATCATTAAGTGCCCTGTATTTAATCAGACCCTAGGCAGTAGCTCCTCGAGGCTTTTCAGAGCACGCCATTTCCCTCCTTACCTTGAAACTGATTTATCTGCTGAGCTGCAAATAAACTCCTCTGCTCAGATGTTCCTCCCAGCATATTTTGTCTCTGCTTTTCCTGGAAAACAAGGGGCATAACATTCAAGTTGCATCCTCTTGACAAGCAAGAATAGCAGTAGACAACTGAAGCGTAGCCGCTGTCATCATTAACAACCTCTCCTGTACGTAGACGCCACACACGCCCCCCTCTGATGAGACTCAGCCCAGACAATTCATTTCAGAATGAGTCTTAATTGCTCACATGCCTCTTCTTGCAAAGGTGCCCTGACAACAGCCCTGCATTAGGAAGCGCAGCCTTCAGCAGATGTTGTACAGGTGCCCCAAGGGGAGCTGGACAAACCCTGAGACCCTCCTGTCACCAGCTTATGAGGAAGTGCAGCACAGCCAGAGGCTGCAGGAATCCTGGCATCTCCTCAGCGCCTCTTGTGTTTACTGTTTGGATGCGTCCTGTGAAGTACTCAATCCAGGGACAAAAGGTGCCCGGAAGGCTATTAGTGAACAGAATCCAGTGAACAGCATCTGTGGCAGTATTGCAGGGACACACTAACAAACGGTGTGGTGGCCATTACCCTGTCTGCAGGATGGCTCTGCTCCTGTGCAACCTCACTTTGTGCTGGTTGCCACTTCTAAGCAGTTAGCACTAGACCACAGGAAGCCAGGGACCCTGAGCAAGCCACTAGGGGCTTTCTCCAAGTGACCTGATTCGTGTCTCCCACCATTTAACCCCAGAACCCACCACTGCAGTTGCATCCCTGCTGTGGACCTGGGGAACTGTCTGTGGACTGTGGAAGCCAAGGCCTGGCTCCCACTGCATCAAAGCAGCAGATAAGCTTGGAGCCAACTGACAGCAAGGAGGCAGAGTTGGTTTTGAAAGGGAGTTTGATCAATGAGCAGGACAGAACTTTGTTGAGGGTTTTACTGAGCCATTTCCCATCCAAAGAAATCAGACTCCTCACTTCTTTGAATGGGAAAAACGCACCACGCTCAGAATCAGAGGCACATGTCCAGTGCTGGCCCACCCAACTTGTCTGTGGAATTCCCCTATCCCTGCTCCTTCACAGGGTATGTTACGAACTCATACAGGGATTTCTGTTGCTAGAGAGACCAGCCAAGTCCAGGACAAACTGAAGTCTAACATCTGCTCTGGTAAAGGCCAAGGGAACCAGAGAGAAAAGCAACACATGGAGGACATCTCTCCTGGGCCTGACTCACTCTCCTTCTCTGCATCTTCCCTCCCAGCTCCGTGGCTGACCAAGGATGATGGCAATGATACAGAGGTGACTGAATCCTTCCCTTGCACATTAGTGGGCAGATCTGCACTTGGACTTGCTGAGCAGCACTTGGCCTTGGCTTCCCTTGGGCATGACATCCTGGACTCACCACAGCCATAGTCTGACTCAAGCCAGCAGTTCCAGGGTCACTCCTTTGTGCTTGCTGACTGGTGATTTCCCCATTCCTGTTAGGACAGTTAGTCCTGTCCTTAACAGTGAGGTGGACAGCAGAGCAACCCACAGAGGCACCTGGCATTGTACCTGCATCAGCTGTCGTTTCATTATTTGCTGCTTCAGTAAATGGTTCCTCATCGTGTACCCATTCACCGTGGCTGGTGCCGGCACAGAGCCTCCGCTTGGGATGGAGCCCGGCTCCTGAAGTCTGGCAACAATTCCTGGATTTTGATCCTGCCAAGAAAGATGAAAAAAGAAAATGAATCTCATCGGGGAGATAACAACAGAAGCCCTTAGCCTCTCTGCTGATGCCCTCTCTCAGGTCTTTGGCTCTCCCAAGGCCAAAACACCTTGTGGGTTCACATGGACCTGCATGTCATGTTGAGGACAGTGAGGGGCAGGGGACTTCTCTGATTTCTGAGGATCAGCACAAGAAGAAGTGAGAGAAGCAAAAAAAAGTTAATCCAAAATTCTTAGTGAGTAGCCTGAGGCTACAGGACTGATTCACTACTATTACTGGAGTCACATGGCAGCCTGGCTGGCAGAAGGCATGTGAGTAAAGCATCACATTTCCCACCAGTTCCCCAACTGTTACACTGAAAGACATAAGGAAAGAAGAGTTGCATGAGGGTAGGATTTGGCAGTTGAATGTAAAGGAGAGCCTACAGGAAAAGAAAACGGCAAACTAAAGGCAGAAGAGGGAAAGAGGTGCCCTCAGACCAGGGACCAAGAAAGGAAGAAAGAAGACATGGACCTGGAATAAGTGGTTCTTGTGGGTTCTGTGAGCTGACAAATTGTGAAATAGCCAATTGTGAAAAGAGAGGAGAATGGTCAGGTCATGGCTGGGCACAAATCAGTGATGCACTGAGTCTGACTCCTGGCTAGTGCAAACTGGCCTCGCTATAAGTCCTCAATGAAAGATCTGAGGTGCTTTTCACCAGGTGAGGACTTGCTTTCAAAGAAAGAGCACTGTGGAGAGAAAAGAATATTCTCAAAAACAGATGAAGACAGAACCCAAAAGGGAAAAATACTTAAAGAAATTATTGAAGTCTAAACATCTCTGGAGCTGGCAGGTAGTCAGGGAAATACAAATGAAAAACTAGGGAAGAAGTCAAGGCCTGATTGAGGACAAGATCATATGAGCACTGTACCCAGGAACAGAAGTACCAGTGTATTCCCCTTTCTCCATTTTCACATCCAGCATCTACATTATTTATGATCTTTTGTTATTATTGGCAGGGAGAAGTTTGTATGTTATATCCAGCATCCTTAGCTGGGCCATGCTTCCTTTGTTTTCAGAATGGAAGCCCACATCCTTTGTTTGAGAATCAATGTTATCAGGAGATAAGCAAAAAGAAAATGGTTGTTGCCTTTTGACATCTGACAATTAGAAGCATGCTCAGACAGGGAAAACAGGATAGGAACCCTGTTTCAGAATGGCCATAAGAAAGCCTTGGAAGGCATTTGTCACCAGCAAGCTTCTTGGGCCTGGGGCACCTTTCCACAGCTGCTTCACTATGAGGAATCACCCAGCTCCTTCCAAGATATTCTTTGTAAGACTGATTACCAAGAAGGTCACTGAAATGACTCATTTTTATAGTGCCTCCCTTTGTTGTAGCACTTCTGTCTATTATGCAAAAGTACAATTGATGAAATGTAAATGCCTGCTAGATAATTTACTAAAAGACACAGACCTGCAGCTCATCACTGCTCTCATTATCATTCCTATTCATGGGCAGTCTCATAAGACTAGTCTTTATTACTGGTGCTTTGCTTACAATTCTGCTGGACATCTCTCCTCCTCCCCCTTCCCTCCTACACATTTTACCTCCTCTCTCCCACAGAAAAAGAGGGAGGGGAGGAGAAAAGTAAATACGATTTCCTACAGATGTAAATATGAAAGTTCATGTAAAGCTAGCACTCTGCTTTCATGTCAGACAGGATTCTGCAGCCATAGTTAAGCTTTGAATAATGCAGATTGCCTCTAGGGGAATATTTGAAAGTGGAGGAATTCAGTTTGTGTACTCTGCACATGAAAGGCACTGAAATGTTCATGCCACCAAAATCCCTGCCATCTATCCAATTTCCTCCAAACTTGTCTTGTTGCGTGCAGAGGGTCTGTGCTTACTGAAGCAAATGAGTTTAGTGCAAGGACAATCATCCTGATGTCTTGCTCAGAGCTATTGCATTAACAAGTCATAACATTAAAGTCTCTTTTCCTAATCATGTCCACCTCATTCTAATTTCTCCTAAACATCATCAAGAAAATAATGTTGATTTTTCCATATTATTAATGGTAAAGAAGTGCAAATCACATTACTAATTGCGGCTCTTGTGCTGTGGCAGTACAACAGCTTAATTATATGGGATTTTCTGCAGGCACCCTATAGCAATAATGACAATCAGTGAAGTTCATTTGCAAATACACAGAATGGGTTGCTGAGTTTTTCAGAGCAAAGTTGTATAACACGTAATTAGCCACTAAAGAAACAATCTATAGATATACATTTTGCTTTTGGGGAAATTAGGACAAAATAGCATAGATGGGAAGACAAAGAATGAATTCAAAATCTTGCCTTCTACAGTTCACATTTAGGTTAAGAAAAAAAAAAAAACAAAAAACAAAAAACAAAAACAGGGAAAAAAAGAGAGAAAAGAAAAAGTTCTCTCTTTTCACCACTAGTGGGAACTACTGTATTCTCTTGCAATAAAAAATAACTACTTAAACGTCATGACTAAGAATAGCTCTGCTGTAGTCTAAAGGACACTGCTATCTGAACCAAAGGTTAATGAACTTTAAACATTTTCCCTTTTCATCGCTCCCTAAGAAAAATCACTTTCCTTCCCACAGTAAGGCCAAGCCACACAAGCCATAATCTTAACTGGCCTATAGTTTGGGCTATCCCATTTTAAAATCCAGGAAGACAGCAAAGAGAGGAGGATTCTAGTGCTGAAGTTGGGAATGATGGAAGTGTGCGTTCACACCCAAAGGCTCCTGCATCCGAGCCCACTGTAAGCTAAACTGTAGGGCACAGATGGCCACTGGGATTCTTATTTTTTAACCTAAGGAAGTGTTTGCATGTAGATATCAGGTTTGTCATTTTTTCCCTCAAAAAAACTTCTATTAAAACGTCAAATGGGCAGAATCCCTAACTAAACAGCATACCACACAGCCCTAGAATTGGAGAGCATGGGTTTATGTTGCTAAGGAAAGTGTCTCACAGCAGGTCTGGACCTCCTGTAGAACTCCCTGGGGTTTCAAATATGGTGGGTTTTGTTCAAAAAGGCACTGGGGTTAACTTCCTTGTTTTGACTTAGTATCTCATGCATTAGTTTTGAGAGCAAATCAGAAAAGAATCAGGTTCCAGGTTTGAAGGAACATATACTGTTTGTGTCAGTATCCAGCCACTGGCTGTAATTGTGAAAGCCCAGTGAAACTAGTTCTTCCCAGCTGGTGCCTGATGGGAGGCTGTCCAGGCTAGGCAAACCCATTTCCAGATCACTGCACCCAACTGCAGTGAGTGTGGGTCTGGTCCAACAAAACATTCAGGCAACCACTTAATGGCAAATGTGCAAAAAATCCCACTGCAACCTACCATGTATATTTATGAATCTACGTCCTTCTAAACATCCACTCACAGGCTTGACCTGCCCAGCCCCATCATCTGATTATGTACAAGATGCACAACTGCAGTAAATAAGCACGGAGATGAATAGTTCTGTTGATAAACTCCAGTCCTCAGCACTTATAGACCCAGCAATCACTTTGTGGCTTCACTTAAGGGAGAATGAAGAAATTTATGGCCCCTAATTCCTCTGAATCCTCATTAACAAACAGGCCAAAAAGAATTTAAAACCAAGACTTTCTGAGGATCTGAGCCGGAGCTTTAATCACTCTTTGGCAAGTATGTAAAAATCTTTTTAATCTTTAATAAAGAGCATGCATTGTTTTTTAGGACTATGTGAAAAAACTAAACTCATTTATCATTATTAAACTTTCCCATCTGCTCTTACAGTGTAACTCCAAAGAATATAACAAAGAAATGTACATGTTTAATTGTATTGACTTAAGCCCAGAGCTATCGGAGATGTACAATTTATTTCAGTGAGGGCATGAGGGGAACTGCAGGCTGCTATACAGAGTCATTTGTCCAATGCTGAAAAGACAGTTATCTGCACCAAAATGGCTCTTGGAAAGGCACATTTGCTTTATAAGAAATAAGCTACCAGGTGAGACCATTCAGCATTATGTTACAGACACAGACAATAAAACTAAGCCATGAATTTCAATACTTAACAGATGGACTAATTAGAGACTGAATTCTTTGTGGTTCTAACAGATAACCAGGTCACAGCAAGGTTACTGAGAGAGAGACAGGCAGCTTTGCAAAATTCAGCAGATATTTGTAGAGTCAGGGAAGAACTTCACTTCCTAACTGAAAGCATTAGCTGCAGTGGAAGAACAGAAACACGTCTAATTAAAAATGCCTATAGTACCTGCATGTGAAAAGTTTATTCCATTTCAAAAAGCAATGCTGATTTGAGAAATATTCCCTCCACTTTCAATAGGGCATTCAGTCTGAATCCAGTAATTACAGAGCTTAAACCAGAGCGGTTGTTGAGATGAGCCACAGCACCCTGGCATAAAAGGGAAAGACTGAAGGAAAAGATCCGCTCAAGGTAGATGAAATGAAAAAAAAACTATAGAATATATTTCAAGTTAGAAATATAAGAAAGGGACAAACTGCTTTTTCTTTTTTTTCGGTAACCAAAGATAACGTACTTGAAGCATTTACCAAGACATCACACAGTAACAAATGAACAAATAAAGAATAAGAGAGGAAAAACATGGCACTGGACTTGACAAGAGCTTGTATTACTGATGTGCTCAGCCAGGGACTCGAGGTGGGTCCGTATTCCCAGGAGGGACAGCTGCTCTCTAGGGGTGGGGTGAAGTTTCATTAACCCAGTTTTGCTTTGTATTTGAAGAGCATCTGTTACATATGGTGAGTTCTGTACTCTGCTGAGGAAATGCAAATGCTAGTTTCAACCTAATGCCTCTGCGTTTCCCTGAGCTCCTGCCTGCCTGCATTGTCTCCTGTCTAGTAGGTGTTGCATCTCCTTGGTGGATGCCTGGGCAGCACCTTCCTTTGAAGTCCCTGTCTAGGACTCCTAGGCGCAATGACTCTACAAATGCTACGAACTAAGCAATTAAAACATTAGTAGCATTAAAG